TGGTTTTAGCAACTTTGCCATGATGTTCTTCTCTACCATACCCTGTGCCACTTTCCAATCATATCAATATTGAGGCAGGTGACACTTTCAGTATGCCAGACTTACATTACTCTAACTTCCAGGTTTTGATGGACATCATCTTCCATATGCTTCAGGAGCTAGCCACATGCTTTGGACCAGTTCATCACTCTCAGCTTTCTCTCCTCTCAAACTCTCAAAATCTAAACATCTCTTCTTTAACCTAAGCCTTTAATTTTCTTCTCCTGGTCTTGATATTATTGGATTTACTTTTTGCTTACCATGATCTACAGCTTTTTAAGTTCTCCCATAGTTTATCAGAATCTTCCTCATCTCTCTCATTCCTCTACTCAATGGGTTTCTATAGTCAGACAATTCTTTATATTTCCTGAATATTTTTCCTGATATACCTACTGTGCTGAACTCTATTCTTAGTAATATCCTCTCCTTCTGGGTAACAGATTCAAATGCATTTTCGTGCTTCCCTCATATAGTGGTTATGAAAAGTTAATGAGTTAATATATAATACAAAGTGCTTACAAGATTGCCTGGCTCATGGTAGCCATCCACTAAATTATAGCTCTCATTGTTGTTATTATTCATATCTCACTCCCTCAAATGATATTGTAAAAATCCATCACAACTAAAAAAGTCACTAGAGCTGGAAAAACATTATATAAAGTAAGAGCATTTTAGGCAGCTCTCTATAAAGACATCCCAGACCACTTCAGCCTTTTCTTTAGACTCATAACAAAGTTAATAACTTATTTTTAAAATGTGCAAAATATTTTTCTCCCTACTTTATGGTTAATAACATACTGACAAATGTATGTGAAGACAATAAACAAGAACGCATACCAGCAGCTTACAACCATGAACTATCTGAATAATCTTTAAGAATAAACCTGAGTTGATTTAAGAGAAAGCAGATGCTCAGTATAGATTAATTAAATCTTTGATTGTCAGTGTCTTTATTGAAGATAGCTACCCCACTAAAATCAGATGTAGGATGACTGTGGCTAAACAGTAAATTATGTTTGTATTCACTCTTTCCTAGCGAAAGACATATGATTAGAAATCTTTTTTTTTTTTCCAGATTTAAATGAGCTCTCCCTAAAGTGTTAGACTGAAGACATGTACAAATACAAGGTGATCCATGGTCCTGCTGACTCTTAAGGAACATCAGCTATAGTATAACTACCAACAAAGTTTTCTTGTTTTTTAATCAATTAGTGTTTTCAGGTACTAAAAAGAAAGTAGAAGGCAATGATAGACATTATTATGTACACTTACCTTGAGTTTATGTTCTTTCCTGTTTACAATCACAGCTGTAATTTGTTGGTCCATGAAAATCAGTATAGTGACCAACAAAGCCGGGATAGCAGCGGCAAGGCACACCCACCACGGGTTCCCTCCAAATGGTGGAACAAACCAACCTCGGTTTGGACTTGTTGGCTTGAAAAAGATAGAGAACATTTTCCAGAAAATTATCAAGTTAATACATACTATTCGGTAAAAAATCAATGGGAAGACATGCTTTTATATTTGGAAAACCAACATATTGAGACATGTAAACAGCTGTGAGCTGGAGAGTGAAGATTATTTACCAAAACCTTCCCAAAGAATGTAATTTTTCAGGCAAATCTTTAAAGAGAGGAGAGAAAGAATATGGGCTGTTAGAAAAGAAGTGAGTGGCATTTTGTGTATTTGGGATGATATAAGACAAGGACTCAAAATGTAAGAAAGTGATTTAAGTTTAAAGAGCAGCCAGAAGAAAACTCCAAATGTAATATTCAGTAGAAAGGTAGCAAAAACTTACCAAACCACCATGAATTTTGTTCATGGGTTGTAGCAATTTTGTTCATGAAGTTGTTTCTACTATTGCCAAATTTTAACAGCTTCATAATATGTATAAAAAGCCACAACTTTTTTTTATAAGTGAACTAATGTAAACATTCTTGTCTATTATTTTACATGTGAAATAATGATCTATAATAATTGGGCAAATTCTAGGAAATATCACAAAACAATGGAAAAAATTGTGATTTTTGCAGTTCTTACTCTGTTTTTCATCAGTAGATCATATGTGTCTACTACAGAAAAAAAAAAAAGGTTTTCCTATGCTTTTCCTTACTTTCAACAATGCAAATAAAAAAACTAAAATAGAACACTGTCTGTGAATTATTTTCTCCTTATTTGCTATGAAGAAAGTTTCACTTCTCTTCTGAGGATATTCCCATCAGTTGTCTCATAATTCTATCACTGAATCTGACCTCATTTTACTACAATTAGCAGATGTGAGCTTGTCAGGGAAAAAATTTTATTTATTCATCAATGCATTTCAAATCTCCAGTTTAGAGCCTGACTCAATATTCAATAAATATTAACTCAAATCAATTGATTATTGAATTAATGAGAACTTATCTTTACTAATGAATACGTGATAGCAGAGACAATTCAAAAATTAATGTTTCTTATAACATATATATCCCTTCTTCATTAAGTAGTTAATAAACTAAAACTGCAACTAGGTTAATAACTCTTAGCAAATATATGATTTCAGTAGTGGAGAGAGTGAGGATTGTTCTAGAAAATAGATGAAAGACTTATAATGAAAAATTAGCTAGGAATATACTTAGGAATGACTGAAATGTAAATTTTATCCATTATCTACACATATGAATAGGTTCATAATTATTATTTCTACTTTGTAATACTTAAAATTCACATTATATATAAATATGTGTAGTAGGTAGTTTCATAGTATGAAAAGAGTATTTAAGACTAGACATCTGGGGCTTGGGTTCTAACTTCATGCCTTGACATTACTAGTTTCATAATCTTGGGCATTTTGCTTAATTCTTTGAGCTTCAATCTTAACTTTATAAAATCAGGATGATGACCAGCCTGGGCAACATAGTGAAACCTTATCTCTACAAAAAATTAAAAAATTAGCTGGGTGTGGTGGCATGTGTCTATAGTCCCAGCTACTTGGGAGGTTAAATGTGGGAGGATTCTTTGAGCCTGAGAGGCAGAGGTTGCAGTGAGCTGAAACTGCACCATCACACTCCAGCCTAAGCAACAGAGCAAGACCCTGTCTCAAAAAAGAAAAAAAAATCAGGAGGATGATAGCTACATTACATACTTCTCAAAGTTATTATATAGATCAAGGTAATAAGGTATATAAAAATATTTCAGATATTTTAAAAATATTCTAAAACTATAAGGCAGAGTTTGTAACAGTATTATCAGTTGTGTTAAATAAAAAACCTAGTCTTGACATTTAATTGCAGTGAAGAAATTAAATTACATATATATGTGAGCCTAAAAGGGACTGATTTTGAAAAAAAAAAAAAAAAAAAAAAAAAAAAAAAAAAAAAAAANGAATCATTGTACAAAATTAACTAAAAGAGACTCACAATAAACTAGGGAGAAAGAAAGAAAAAGAGTTCCAGGAATAACCAAAAGATAGACATTCACCTACCTTGAACTCGCTTGGCACAATCAGTTTTGGAGTGTCCACACCCACCAGGGCATCTATTACACAAAAGATGAGAATGGACAAGATAATGGCAAAATCACTGATCAGTTTTCTTGCCTGGAAAAAATAAACAAGAAACCAGGAAGCATTTAGTACCAGATACATATATTTGTCTATGTTTGAACTGAATGAAGAAATCTATATTTGCTAATAGTTTATAACAGCTTCATCAACCAATTGAAGGAGGTATCAGAGTGCAGAAAGATTATTTTTAAAATTGTTTTTGTAGTAGTATATCACCTGGCTAGACATAATCTAATCCCAAAGAACAAGTTGGGGTGTGTGTGTGTGTGTGTGTGTGTGTGAGAGAGAGTGTGTATGTGTGTGAGAGTGTGTGTGTGTGTGTGTGTGAGTGTGTGTGTGTGTGTGCAGGGAGGGCAATCACATAGAACATATCCCTGAAATGCTGTATAAACTCCTCCTGCTTGCAACATGAAGGTCACCTGGACAAGAGTGAAAACTAAGTGCATCTTATAAAAATCTGCACAACATAGAAATTCTGTTTATTATTTGGGAGGCAGCACTGTGGGTACAGAGTACAACAAATCTCATAAAATAGGCTGAAAACACCAAGAATCTAGCATGGGGGGGCTTAGAAGTTCCTGTCCCTGGGTGAAGTAAATATCAAGACCTCAGAGTAATGTCAAGTAATGAAAGATGAAAATGTGATGGCTGCACTAGCTTTGTCAAATAAAATATTTCTCAATCCCGGTTAGTTGTCACTGTGGGACAGCTCTTCACCACTTCTGCATGTGACTGCCATTATCTGATAACCCTCCAAATTCCTAAGTACCTCCCTCTGGTCAGGACAAGGTCTGAGCTTTAAAGAATACAACATTAAACTAAGATCATTCCCATAAAGTGGGTGAATATTGGTCATTTGCAAGTTGGTAAGGGGAGCATAGTACCACTTGGTTGCTCGAGATTGCTCTGTAGTCTCTAGTAGCACTAATGAGGATTAAGTGCATTACTGGAGCACAGATATCTGAGCTTCCCATCTGGTGGATACACATGTTAGCACATAATTTAATCATTCAACAAAAATTTACTCAGTTCCTAACACTTTTCTTGGTGCTAAGGATACCACAGTAAATAAAACAGATACAATCCATGTCTTTATGAAGCTAATGCCAAGTTATAAACAAGGAAGCCTGCTCCTAAATAAAACCAAGGTTGATTCAGAGGTTATGAAGATATCTCAGGATGAGCAGTCAGTTTCTGATGCTGCTGGATGAAGGGAGATCAGTGATGGGCTGAGTGGATGCATAGTTCTGAAGATAAAGGATTTCTTGAAAGAGAATGATATCACTGCAGCCAGGCAGTCAATAGAAACTAAAATGAGGAATAAAAATTGCTTGACAGGGTGTGTGTGGTAAAGGCCCTAATGTTCAACGCTTGACCTTTATCAGGTGTCAATAGCTTGATACTAACTGGCTGCCAGATCAAAGTTGTTCCTTTTGGCCAGTAGTTCCTTTATTTCTTGGAGGGTTAGATTATGCTAGGTTTCGCTTTCTTGAAAAGTACACATTGAGGAACAGAAGGAGAGACTTTTATGGGCAAGTTAATATCAATTATACGCAATAATTTTAAGAACCAATAGATGGCACAAATCAATATGGGTGGGCAATAGAGTACAGCAGTTAGGAGCATAATTCATATTGGAACTTCTGCACCATTATTTCCTACTTGTAAAAACCCTTTCTTAGTTTCTATTACTTCATCTGCAAAACATAGCCAAAATAATCCCTATAACTTCATTGGTTTGTTATCAGAATTAAATAAAGTCATGAAAGTGTTTAACAATACTGCCTAGAACATAATAAATTCTCCTAATATGTTAATTATTGTTATTTAAAGTTCCAGAAGCTCTCTTGGCTGCAGAGACCACTGGAATAACTAAATGATCTACTGTAAGGAGGTCTTTGACATGAAACTTGAAATCCAAGAAGCAAAAAATAAAGGCCATTAATAACATGAGACTGCCACTCAGAGCTAATTTTGGTTTGAAGTATGTGGAATCTCACACAAAAAAGGATGTTTCTCAGGGGTTCTATACTGGAGGAAACTCATTTATTAAGTTTTGTGCAAATAGTGTTGATGCTGGCAGTTCAGAGCGGTCTGGCAAAAGATGGTCCCATGAAGCAGTTCAGGAGTATGTCAGGAAGTTACAACCACCCCTCTAGACCGGTAGGTCATAAATCACTGGAGGACCAGAGGTCATTGCAAAGGCAAAGTGGGAGTTAGTTCTTATTTATCAACCTTACAATCCTCACCTAGAAAATACAACTGGTAGGCAACACAGATGTCCTAAGTTGTTTTAAAGAGAAATAGTTATTTAAAAGGCAGATAGCTTTCCTTCTTTTTTTTTTTTTTTTAATAAACAGGGGAGGGGAGGCCAGGTGCGGTGGCTCATGCCTATAATCCCAGCACTTTGGGAGGCTGAGGCAGGCAGATCACCTGAGGTCAGGAGTTCAATGCCAGCCTGACCAATATGGAGAAACCCCGTTTCTACTAAAAAATACAAAATTAGCCAGGCATGGTGGTGCATGTCTGTAATCCCAGCTACTTGGGAGGCTGAGGCAAGAGAATCACTTGAACATGGGAGGTGGAGGATGCTGTTAGCCGAGATCGTGCCATTGCACTCCAGCCTGGGGAAACAAGAGTGAAACTCCATCTCAAAAAATAAAATAAAATAAAATAAAATAAAATAAAATAAGAAATTAAATTTTGAAAAAAAAAGAAGGGAAATAGTAGAAAACAAATTCAAACTGCAATTCTTTGGTAGAAATTCCCATAGACCTATACCTCTAGCCCCAGTGAAGGACAGACCTGCTTGACCAAGATCACTACCAGGCACCTGGGCAATTCTGCTTCTTTAGTTGGTAGAAGAGGCAATCTCAGCCTTCCATATATTAGACACCCTGCAAAACTTATATGGCAAACTGAACCTCATCATTGAGGGCCCACATATGGGGCTCCTAATCTGGCTGCACTACTCCAAGAGATAGTGAGATCAAGGCACATGATTCCAAGTACCAACAAAGAGAAAGTTCCCTGGAAGATCTATATTGCTTTAAGAAATTATTTAAGGTATACTAATGTTGAAAGAAAAACAATGATTTTTTTTCAGACAAATATATCAGCTGTATTTTAATTTGGGTGTTGGTTACACAAATGTATAATCTATGAATTTTACTATGTAAATTAAAGCTCAATTTTAAATATACTGCAACACCCCCAAAAATCCCGGAACTTCCAAATCCAAATTAGGGTTGTCTTTCAAATTATTCTCTTTGGGAAGCTATTTATTTATTTTAATGGTGTTGCTATTGTTCCAAAAATTAAAAAGTACTTTTATAGTTTTAGTACTGAGCAAAGACTCACACTATCGACATTAACTATCACATGTATGAAAGATCCACAATCCTATCTTCTTTGAAGTGTAATCTTTTTTGTTTCAAAATTAATGTGTTCACTGTAGAATATTTAGAAAAAATAGGTAAGAAAATATTTTTAATGAACTATGTAGGAATACATTGTAACATCTGTAAATACATCCTTTTCTACACATTTATGTCCATATATATGTGTACATACAGAATTTTTTACATACTGTTTGATATTTTGCTTTTTCTACTCTTATTCTATTTCATTTGATATTTTCTATAATAGTATACAATATTGACTCTACAGTATTATGCTAAATGGCTATCCTAAAATCTACTTTTCTAATACTCTATTGTTTAGAGTGCTTTTAACTTTTCACTATAATGAACAATATCATAAAGAAATCTTTGCACATATATAAGACTGTTTCCTTTGAATAAATTCCTGTCAGAAGAATTACTGTATCAATTTCTATATAAAAATTTAAGTCTTTTGGTATGTAATGCCAAATTATCTTCTTGAACGTTACATTGATTTTTCCAATTTTCATTCTACTCAACAATACACAAATTACTGCAGATATTTTGTAAAGTTAAATCCGTTCAAAGCAAGAGAAATTTGTCACCACTGAGGATATTCGAAAGAACATAAAATTGTCAAATCTCCTAAAATTTCATTTCTGTAGCTTAATGAAGCAACTGAATTTCTTAAGCCATTCTGAGCTCTCAAATTTAATACACAGCCTACATGGATATATCACCCTCTAAAGATGGTATTAACATGTATTCTCAAAAGTATCTCTTTAACCTTCATAAACCACATATTACATGGATAGAGAGTAAATACAGAATTATCAGTGGATATGGAGTCAACTCTGATAGCAGGATATGTGTATGGAAATAATTCATTAAAAATCACAGCCAGGGTGGTATATCCTGTATAATATACACACTTCTATTTCCACTTCCTTATCCTTAAATTGTACAATATTAGTTTAGTTACAGCACAAATCACTCCTGGAGGGTGTTTATTATTAAGATATTCATTTCTGAGATCTTGGATCCAATTTAAACTTCATAGTCAAGGAAATTGATTTTTCCCAGATCACTGTTGTATTCAACTCTAAATCCCCTAATTAGAGAAGACAGGTAGGGGTGCTATTTTAGCAGATTATTCATGTCTTACTCTATGCTAAAATGAAACTTTAATTTGAGCTAGGCAAAACTGACGTAGAAGTAGAAAGTGCCCTAAAAATGTCTAGCAATGAGTACATACAGTCTACTAGATACACTCTGGAGTCTGTAAATGAGACTTCTCAGTCTGACTTTAAGGAGACAGGAACTGCTCTCTTTGGGCCCTTCTCACAGTTTTAAACACATTTAGAAAGAGGCACCTATGTGATTTTCTTTCATCATTTGTTTTCCCTTTCATTTCATCAAACTTGCTCTCTTTCAAAAACTCAAAAAACATCCTGTTATGTAGGTCAATCTATCAATAAAGATATCAAATTAGAAAGACACAGTTTCCAATTCTCTACTATTAACAGCTATTACTGGTAATGGTTAAAAGTAGAAGTGTCAAAGTTTTCCTGAGAAAACCTGTTCCCTCAAGATTTCATGCCCAAACCTGTGGATTCAGAGGCCTCAAATCTAGCTTGAACAAACATCATAAATTGTGGTTGTCCATCCAAATCAAATGTTAAGTCTCTCCAGACTCAAACTTCAATATCTTAGGAATATAAATTATCACAATCTAAGAGAACACAAATTAAGATAATTAATAGATAGCAAGTGCTTGCCATTAAATATTTTAAATAATATATAGATGTACTACAAAACTCCTACCTCAATTTATGAAAGACAGAAGGAGAAGCATGCCTCAATTAAGACTGTACTGCCTTTTTTATCAGACCCGTTTTGAACGCTTTAATTTTTGTTTACTGTTTTTAATTATAAAAATGAAGAGAAGAAAAATATTTCTGTCCTCTGCAGGATTAATTAGACAGTATCTCAATTAATCTAATAAGAAGCCAGCAGCTTAAATATTTAAACTACCAAAGCAAAGAATAAATTAAGTGGATAGGAAAGGAAATCCAAATAAACATATGCTGTCCTCTCCTTCTTTGGAAAAACCACCTAATAAATCTGTTATAAACATAATATTCATGAAAGATGATACTATATTAATTATTGAGAGAGTCATAATCATACAGACACCAACAGTGAGAAGCTAGTTAATTTACAGGGGAAAAATGAATTGGGTTTTTTGGAAAGCCCAGAGGACATTTGGTTTTCACTTTGCAAGGGCTACAGCTGCTCCTGAATTAACTAGATGGAAAAAGCCATGCATCTACAGAGCAGTTCTCAATGGATAGGGCTGTTATAAAGAGGAAAGGACAGCAGCAGGCACCCTGTGAGCTCTCAATACATTGTAACTCATGATGTCAGTTCCTCTAGTGATCGTGGTGCTTGGAAAATGCTAAACACAGTGTAAAAAACCATTTATTCTAGATGAAAAACAAATTATGCCAGACAATTATGGGTCTTTCAGTAATCACAAAAAGGCATCAAAATAACCTACAAATTTTGGAATTTTATTCCCCAGTAGCCAAAGCTATAAAGCACTGTAAAAAAAGAACATTAATAGTAGTCATGGCAATAATCATAGTTCACTGTATTTTGATTCGGTAATATCCACTATAATCAGAATTTAATAAAAGGAAAGTCTGATTTTGACTCTAACATTTTAGTGCCATAAGTTCTAAGTCAAAGAGACTTGGGGAGCAAAAAAGAGAGATGAACTGGAGAATTTATCTGCATAGGGCTTGGAGCTTGATAATGGGAAGTCTACTGGAAGGAGAGTAAACCTAGTGAAGTGGTTCAGAAAAGATACTAAGGAGACTTTGGCAACCACTAAAAGACGTTTACTTCCATTATGTCTCAAAACTAGGCAGTAGAACAAGAAACACAATGTGTGTAGACCAGAAGCAAATGATCAAACCACATGGAAAATACTATGTCCCAATCAGGTTACTATCTTCTAAATTAAAACTTAAAATCTGGAGCTAATATAGAAAAGGGCAGCTGGAGGATTTGGGAATATGGAAAACACATCACAAGAAGAATGATGGCATGCCTAAAGAAGTTGTAGGGAGAATTTGTCTTCAAATATGTGAAGTCTATCTCAGGAATGAGAAATTAACCAGTTCTATGTAGCTCCAGATGGCAAGTGCAGACCCTGTGGACAGAGGCTATGGAAAGGCAGATTTTTGTGTCTATCAAGAATGCCTGCAGGATACTAGGATCCTGTTCTAGGAAGCATTTAAGCAGATGAAGACCACATGTCAGAGATGACGTTACACTAGATAGTGTTCAAAGTCCTAACACTAAAATTCATTAAGATCCAATTATTAAAATTGCTTGACCATCTAATAGAGTCTTCTTAGATATAACTCAAATAAATCAGTATAATAAAGTGATCCAGGTCCTAAAAGATGGTTTTCTAATTTACATTAATATACAATAAAAGTTTTAAAAGTGTAATTAGTTAACTCATCTGTATAAATTAGACAACCCCAAAATGGAATAAGAGACCATTATGTGTTAGTGCAGGGATTTCAATGTTGTTGACTTTTCTATGATGAATAAATAAGCTGAAAGTGCTCAGGACCAAGAGGTTCTCATGGTTAAAATTATTATTTCTAACCATAGACTGCCTCTTTGCAACCAGTAAGAGCTTTCTCAAAATGTTTTGGCCAATCACTGCTCCCAACCTGTTTTTCTTAGGGCTCAATTCAGGTTGATTGTAGTTTTATTTTTGGTCATATGTCTGTAAGAACTGAAATATTTGTATAGTCTTTGTTAAATATTTAACAGATTAAGTTGTGTTTATAACCAAATATCCTTTTGTCATTCTTAACAAAATAAGTATAAAAACAAATTTGGATTAAAAATTTAGGCCGGGCGCGGTGGCTCAAGCCTGTAATCCCAGCACTGTGGAAGGCCGAGGCGGGTGGATCATGAGGTCAAGAGATCGAGACCATCCTGGTCAACATGGTGAAACCCCGTCTCTACTAAAAATACAAAAAATTAGCTGGGCATGGTGGCGCGTGCCTGTAATCCCAGCGACTCAGGAGGCTGGGGCAGGAGAATTGCCTGAACCCAGGAGGCGGAGGTTGCGGTGAGCCGAGATCGCGCCATTGCACTCCAACCTGGGTAAGAAGAACGAAACTCCGTCTCAAAAAAAAAAAAAAAAAAAAAAAAATTTGACTTCAAAAATTACTTTCCTTGATATAAAATACTTCAAGAATCTGGAGATCTGATTCTTCTTTAGTGACAGCAAAGTCGTTTGCTTTGCTGTCACTAAAGAAGACAAATACTACCCAAGACTAAGTGAGACATATAATAGAGGCCCATTATTTCTTACTCATATTTTAACATATTGTTTTAGTTTAACAGGTTTTACCATTCACCAAGATAATTTCTGAGAGAAAAAGAAACCAGAATGGGGATGTCTCCTGATTCTTGTTAAGGGCTGTTTATAAACTAAAACATCCAATTTTAGTAGAATGACCATAGACCAAAATGTCAACAAAAAAATCATGGTTCTAGAATATCGCTACTTATATAATTCTAGACTTTCCTGTGTTTCATGCCAACAAAAACTAAATGCATCACCCAAATAAAATGTTCCTCATGTTTTCATTAGTTTCTGAAGCCCCACTCTTCAAAGAAAATTCTGCATTATCTAAATACAGCATAGAAGTTGTTATAGCTATTGATGCTACCTGGAATTAAGTGATTTTATTTATATTTAAATAAATGAACCAGGAAGTATATTAAAAACACCTTATGATTACACCAATTCAACTGAGGGTTAAAATTAATGCATATTCTAAGGAGGAAAATTAGAAAATCAAGCAATTCTTTAAGAATGGCATTCTTGGGCCTATTACATATGCCAGTCACATTGAATGTGACTATATCAACGTACCAATAATTTTGCCTAATTCATGGGGTTCTGGGGCTTTCTGATTTCTACTAATCCTAATACTGCTCTGTTTTTAAGCTATGGTTTTCATTTTGCCACCACAAATCTATGGCTTTCTGATTTCTATTAACCCCAAACCTGCACTATTTTTAAGCTATGGTTTCATTTTGCCACCACATATGCACATAAGGTGTGTGATGGCGTCTTTGTTATTTGTTTATGATCATTTGTTGGTGTGGGACTCTGGAAGAACATTTCATGTTAATGCCCTGAGTCATCTGCCACAGAAAATCACAGATTATGCTGTGATATTCCTAATGGAAGTTTTGATGCTGAAAGACTTTGACTAAAGACTCGAGGCAGATATAACAGACCAGTCACAGTGTGGGATAACAGATTGATACACCCCTTTACAAAGAATGGTGAACACAAAAAAGACTGTCAATGGAGTACTGGTATTTGACGCATGTTCCACCCAGCATTAGGGCTTTGCAGAAGTGTCTGATATACAAATTAAATGCCTGATAGACAGGTTAGCAAAGGTAATCTGTTTCATTTTAAGTGCTCATACTCATGGATTGCTAGTGGCTCTTTGAGGGATGGAAAGAGTGGGTTGACCATGGCCTCAGCAAAGGTAATGAGAGCCAGAATGAGGGGAATTGAAAAGTGTAAAGGAGAAAGAATGTAGTGGAATAAGCTTATCACAAAAGGAGTGTGGCAAGTTTAATTTGATAAAGAAAAACCTGGAGTGCCACATGCAATGGATATCTTTATTTAACACACCAGATTCATTCTCTATCCCCCTCTACCACACTCTCTGCCTTCGGAAGTTAACCTGTGTGGTCGACTATGGGCTCCCCAGTCTTATTCTCTGGGATATCACACCTTCTTCTGTGGTTTCCATATACCCTAACTTCACCTTCATAAATAATGTCTTTATTAAATCTTCAAATTATCTTAATTTGAGCATACCATTTGCTTCCTACTGGGATCTTGACCCATACACCAAATATGACTTTAAAATTTTGATCACACCAGGTGTGATAGCTAACATCTGTAATCCCACTGCTTTGAGAAGCTGAGACAGAAGGACTGTTTGAGCCCAGGAGTTCAAGATCAGCCTGGGGAACAGAGTGACACCCCATCTCTACAAAAATAAAAATAAAAAATTTTCCATGCATGGTGGAATGTGACCATAGTCCCAGCTATTCAGAAGACAGGAGAGAGGATCGCTTGAGCCCACATGGTTGAGGCTGCAGTAAGCCATGATTATTCCACTGTACCCTGGCTTGAGTGACTGAACTAGACCACATCTTATTTAAAAAAAAAAAAAAAAGAGAGAATAAAAAACATTTTGATCTTGGGTGGCTCTAAGGATAGGTGATGTTATTAGCTGAGATAAGGAATATAAGGAACCAGATGCAGTGGCTCATGCTGGTCTATAAATAATGCCTTTATTAAATCCTCAAATTATCTTAACTTGAGCATACCCTTTGCTTCCTGATGGAATTCTGACTCATAGACCAAATATGACTTTAAAAGTTTGATCAAACCAGGTGTGGTGGCTTATGCCTATAATCCCACCACTTTAGGAGGCTGAGTTGGGAGGATCACTTGAGGCCAGGAGTTCTGAGGTGGGAAAATCACTTGAGGCCAGGAGTTTGAGATCAATCTGGGCAACACAGTGAAATCCTTTCTCTCCCCCACCCTCTAGAAGCCCAAAAAAGGAATACAGAGAGATGAGTAAATTCAATTTTGACAAGAAAGCCAACGATGTTTTGAATTTGTCTTTGCTATATGACAATTGTGAATCATCCACAAAGAGAGGCTGGCAGACATGGTATGATAGAGATAATTATATTTTGCAAACTTATAAGGTTTAATTATTGCTATAAGCCTAGAATAGTATAGGAAATGTAATTCATTTAGGAAATGGAGCCAGAAAATTCTTTAAATTTATAAAAGTACTAGAGATCTAAAGGCTGTTAATTGTCACCTAGCCAAGCTTTCCCTTTATAGGTGAGGTAACTGAAATTTGTAGTTGGCTATCAAAGAGCACATTGTTAGTTAATGGTAGTGCTGACACTAGAATCTACAGTTCCTGGGTTCCTACACATTGTGCTCTTCCCATAGAATGCAACACTAATCTGTACTTGACTGGTTTCTACTACTTAACAAGTATTGGGTACTTAGTCTGTATCCAACCTTGTGACAGTTGATCTGACTAATAAAAGAGAAGTATAACTGTTTTAAACTAGTTTATAGTTTTAACTAACGACTCATATAAATGTTTAAAAATGAAAGAAAAAAAGAGAAATGACTGTGTGAGCTAAAGGAGAATAAGACATTTTTCATGGCAAGAACATTGTCATTCAGCATTAGCATTTTGAGTTTTTCAAGGTTTCATGTGAATTGTCGGTACAAGGAAGGAACTAAAAATAGCCTCGATTGTTTCCACAGCTATAAAAGCCTGTCTTATGTATAGCGTTTAAGCATATGTTTTAATTATAAAACATTATATAAGAATATATATATGACTGTACACACCTGTCTGCACCTACCTATAGAAACCATATTTCAAAATGACAGCTTAAATTATAACATATTTTGGCAAATGAGACATAAAAATGATGTTCTCAGCCAGGCGCAGTGGCTCGCACCTGTAATCCCAGCACTTTCAGAGGCCGAGCCAGACAGATCACCTGAAGTCAGGAGTTCAAAACCAGCCTGGCAAACATGGTGAAATGCATTCTCTACTAAAAAATATACAAAAATTAGCTGGGCATGGTGGTGTACACCTGTAATCCCAGCTACTCAGGAGACTGAGGCAGGAGAATCACTTGAACCCAGGACATGGATGTTGCAGTGAACCGAGGTCGTGCAACTGCACTCCAGCCTGGGCAACAAAGCAAAACTCTGTCAAAAAAAAAAAATGATGTTCTTATTATTCATTTATGTATGCATATGCATTTAGGTATATATTATTACTTAGCTGTAAATGTGAAGTGAGTTAGAGTATAAGGGGAGATGACAGACTAAAAGCCTACACAGTTACACACTGATCTTTACAAATCACACATACTTTCTCCTCTCTGTGTACCTTATAATTTGGTATATACTATTCTAAATGATGCTGAGATCCTTCTTTAAAAGAACTGTTACTAGAATGCTATCATTATTCTATTTTTGCATCATCATGACATTCTTTGCAGTATTCATCAATGACTGAGAAATTACCTGCTTAGGCTCTTACGAGGGGAGAATTTCTTTAAGTCTGAAGAGTTATACTCAATTTGGGTGTTACCACCAGAAGGAAAAGGTTTTGCACACATAGAAAGTAAAATGACCATTCTATTTAGTCTGGGAAGTGATATCAGCAAGATGGCAGACTAAGACTTTCCAATGGTCATTCCCCTGTAGAAACATCAATTTGAACAACTAGCCACTGATTAAAATACTTTCACAAGAGCTGAAGAGGAAAACCCTCTGTTTAGGAGAAGAAGAGGGAAATGAGTACCAGTCTTCGCCTTGGACACCAAAAGGCCTGCCCCAGTAAAACCAAATGAGAAGGAGGCCCCCACAACCCCAGACTCTAGGTTGGTAGAGAACCCCAGACTCTAAAATCAACCACAGACTGATCCGGGCTGCCCCCACACGAGGCTGGCTCAGCAGTCCCATGCTCCTGGCCTGCCCTGGGGACTTGGTGTCTGAGCCCAACCCACTGCCAGACCAAACCCAGTGGCCCTAGGCTCCAGATGAGCCCCAGGGCCAGGGTAGCCCCAGGTACAATAGGCTCTGATCACCCCCAGCACCAGGTTAGATGCTATGACCTTAGTCATCAGGTCAGTACCTGCAGACTCAGCCTCCAAACCAGTCCCTGCCAATACAGGCTCCAGGCCTGTCCAGAATCAATCAGTCCCTATGGCCTCAGGCTCCAGGCCCACCCTAGGTTCCAGACCAGCCCAGAGCCAGGTCAGCCCAGACAGCCCCAGACTTCAGGCCTGCTACGGAATCATGCCGGCATCCCTGGCCTTAGCACTAGGTAAGTACCATGCATACAGGCTCCAGGCTTGCCCAATACCAGGTCAGTCCCTGTGGCTCCACCCTCCAGACTGGACCCTTAAGCCCCACACTCCAGCAGATCTAGGATCCAGGCACACTTTAGCAGACCCATGTTTCAGGACAGGCCCTGTGGTTGCATGACCCACAACAGCCCTCACAGACCTAGTCTCCAGGCAAGCACCCATATAGCCAGTTTTCAGGCTGGTCCCCATAGCCACAGCCATCAGACCAGCCACTTTGGCTTTGGGCATTAGGCCAGCATCTGTGATCCCAGACTCTAACATCTGCCCCAGCACCAGGCCAACCCCAGGCTCTCGGCTGGTACCCATAGAGCCAGGCTCTAGTAGACACAGGGTCCAGGCCCACCTCACTAGACCCTGGAGCCATAAAGGCTCCTATGAACCAAGGCTCCTGGACCATTCCTATAGACTCAAGTTCTAAGCCAGTGCCCATGGACCCAGGCTGCAGGCCTTCCCTCAAGGACTGAGGCTCCAGTCCCCAAACTATGGACCCAGGTGCCAGGAGCACTCACCTGTTTACATAAGAAGCAGGTCAGCCTGCCTGGGAAGTCCTGCAGCAAGCCTGCCTATGGACCACACAAGAACACCTGCTAGAGTCTCTAGGGGGGCTGGTTGGTGAAAAACTTTTCTAGACAATGACATTCTGCAAAGACTAAAATTAGTCTCTACTTCTTCAAATGCAAAGAAACAAATTAATAGCCACAAGACCAAGAACAATTAAGGAAACGTGACACCACTAAAAGAAAAAATAAAGCCCCAGTAATCATCCCTAAAAAATACAGATATATGAACTATCAAAGCATTCAAAATAATTATTTTAAGGAAGCCCAGCAAACTTTTAAAAAGACAGGATGCTACAAAATCAGGAAAACAATCAATGACCAAAACTAGAAATTTAACAAAGATTGAAACTACTTACATTCAAATATTTATAAAATTATCTTAAAAAAAAACACATAGAAATTCTAGAGCTGAAAAATATAATGAAGAAAACTTAAAAATGCAATAAAGAGCATCAACAGCAGAATTGATCAAGCAGAAGAATCTGTGAACTTAAAGACAGGTTATTTGAAAATACAGTCAGTAGAGAAAAAAACAATGAAAAGAATAAAGGAAGTTTATACGATCTATGTGAGAGGATCAAAAGAACAAATATTCAAGTTATAGGAGATCAAGAAGAAAAAGAGAGGGACAAAGAGTACAAAGTTTATTTAATATTTTGAACCTAGGGAAAATATTTCAAACTTAGGGAAATATAAATATCTAGCTATAGGAAGTTCAAAGGTTTTCAATCATATTTGACATAAAAATACTATATCGAGATATAATCAAGTTGTCAAAAAAACAAACACAGAGAGAAAATCTTGAAAGCAGCAAGAGAAGCAAATCACGTATGCTTCCAATATGAGTTCCAATAATACTAGCAGCATATTTTATAGCAAAAGCCTTACAACCCAGGAGCAATTGGAATGATATATTCAAAATGCTGAAGAAGGATTCTGATGCAAGATGGCTGACTACAGACACCTACTCTTTCCAGAAAGAAGAACCAAAGTTATGAATAGATAAATACACCTCGAATAGAA